CTTGGTCAGAAGTCAGAAAGAAAACTAATGATGGTCAAAGGTCAGAAGCTTCAAACTCCGATAGGCAGAAGAATGTCTAGAAGGGAAAGGAGAAGTTTGACAAGAAGAATGTTCAGTGTTATTGTTGCAAGAACTTTGGCCACTATGCCAAAGATTGCTGGTCAAACAAAGAAAGGAAGTAAGAAGAAGCAAATATAGCCAAAGAAGAGTCTGATGATGAACCCGTGCTATTGTTGACTTCTGAATCTGATAATATGAATCATCAGAATGGTGGTATATGGACACAGGGTGTTCAAACCATCTTACTGGAAACAAGAAATGGTTGGTTGATTTTGACTCTGGGAAGAGTACAAAGATCAAATGTACTGATGATAAATACCTCAATGCAGAAGGTATGGGAAATGTCAGAGTCATTCTAAATAATGGGAAAACAACAATGATCCAGAATGTGTGGTATGTACATGGCATGAAAAGCAATCTGATGAGTGTGGAACAATTGACTGAGAAAGGTTTTTCCGTTACCATGAAGGACAATCTTCTGAAACTGTATGACCATAATCAAAAGATGATTATGGATTCAGAACAGGGAAAGAACATAATATTTAAGGTGAATGTTAGAACTGCAGACTCTGAATGTCTTAGTGCAACAAGTGTTGTCAAGGAGAGTGAGTTGTGGCACAGAAGATTTGATCATCTGAATTTCAGAAGCTTATGGCATATGAAATCAAAGAAGCTGATACATGGAATTCCTATAATCAAGAAGCCTGAGAAGTCATGCAAGGTATGCATGGAAGGGAAGCAACCAAGATTACCATTTACATCAGAAGTAGCTCCAACATCAAAGCATGCCTTGGGAGTAGTGCATTCTGATGTGTGCAGTCCATTTCCAGTAGCTTAAATTGGAGGGAATAAATGCTTTGTTTCATTCGTTGATGAGTTCAACAGAATGACATGGGTATCTCTCATAAAGTTCAAACACTAGGTGTTTGTTGAATTCTAGAAGTTCACACTGAAGGTTGAGAATCAGAGTGGCAAGACTCTGAAGATTCTTAGAACTGATGGTGATGGTGAATATAACTCCACAGAATTCAGAAGGTTCTATGAGGAGAATGAAATTGAGAATGAGGTTACTGCTCCCTATACTCCTCAACACAATGGTCTTGCTGAAAGAAGAAACTGTACTTTGCTTGATATGGTGAAAAGCATGCTGAAAGAGAAAAAGCTTCCTCATACTCTGTGGGGAGAAGCTGTTGCCACTGCATGTTATGTACTCAACAGATGTCCAACGAAGAAATTGAAGGAAATAGTTCCTATTCAGAAGTGGACTGGAGATAAATAAAGTGTTATTCATCTGAAGGTGTTTGATTATGTATGTTACAAACATGTTCCAGAAGCCAGAAGAGAGAAGCTGGATGATAGAAGTAAAGTAATGTTACTGGTGGTGTACCATAGTACAGGTTCGTACAAACTTTATTGTCCTTAAATTAACAAAGTTGAGTTCAGCAGAGATGTCATTGTAAAAGAATCAGAAGTTTAGAATTGGAAAATGTCTTGTCTTGACTCTAATAAGAGAACTCCTAAAGAAAAGTCTGAAGCACGTGTTTCTGAAGCTGATAAAGACTCTGACTCTGAAGAAGATTCATAAGAAGAAGATGATTCTGACTCTGATTCTGATGGTGATTCAGATTCTGAAGACAGTCAAGGTTCTGGAGAAAATCCAATTTCTGAAGCAAGCGCTTATGAAGGGGAAAGTTCTTGTGTCCAAGGTTCTGAAGGTCCAGTTCAGAGGCAACAAAGAGTCAGAAGCATTCCAAAAAGATTTGTAGAGTTTGACATGTTGCAAGACACTGAAGTAGACTATGAAGGAGAAGTTATTCAGTGTGCAATGTTAGTAGACTCTGAATCCGTGAGTACGGAAGAGACTCTTAAGCAGCAAGTTTGGTTACAGGCCATGAAAGAAGAACTTGATGCTATAGAGAGAAATAAGACTTGGAAGCTGGCATAACTTCCAAAAGGCAAGAAAGCCATCAGCGTCAGATGGGTTTTCAAGTAGAAGCTAAAGCCAGATGGATCAATTGGAAAACACAAAGCAAGATTAATAGCAAGAGACTTTCTACAGAAGCTTGGGCTGGATTACTCTGAAGTGTTTGCACCTGTAGGGAGACATGAAACAATCACAATAGTGATTGCAATAGCTGCTAACAGGAATTGGCCTCTGATGCACTTAGATGTAAAATCTGTATTTCTGAATGGTCCATTACAAGAAGAGGTATACGTATCACAACCTCTTGGATTTGAAAAAAAGAATCAGGAAGGAATGGTGTTCAAATTACACAAAGCCTTGTATGGATTGAAGCAAGCGCCCAGAGTTTGAAATTTGAAGATTGATTTGTTTTTCAAGAAACAAGGGTTTCAGAAGTGTGAGATGGAATATGGTGTTTATGTTCAGCATACTTCAGAAGGTAATATGATTCTGGTATGTTTGTATGTTGATTACATATTGCTCACAGGAAGTTCTGAACAAGAGATAAATGAGTTCAAGAAAGTTCTGATGAATGCGTTTGAGATGACAGATCTTGGGAAAATGAGTTTCTTTCTAGGGATGAAGTTTATATATTCTGAGAAAGGAATCATTTTACATTAGATGAAGTATGAACTTGAGCTCCTAAAGAGATTTGAGCTAGAGAATTGCAAAGTTTTTATCACACCTGCTGATATGAATCAGAAGTTGGAATCTGATTTTGAGGGAGAGGATGTGGATGCTACAACCTTCAAATAGATGGTTGGTTCTCTGAGGTATTTGTGTAATACCAGACCTGATATTTGCTATGCAGTTGGAATGGTTAGCAAATTTATGAGTAAACCAAAGGGGTCTCATTACCAAGCTGTTGTCAGGATTCTGAGGTATGTGAAGGGAGCTCTGAAGTATGGAGTGTTATTTTTGTCTGGAAGAAAGATCGAATCAGAATTTTTGAATTACTCAGACTCTGATTGGTGTGGAGATAGAGTTGACAGAAGAAGTACTTCTGGGTACTTATTCAAATTTCTAGGAGGTCATATTTCTTAGTGTTCCAAGAAGCAAACTGTTGTTGCACTGTCAATCTGTGAATCTGAATATATTGCAGGCGCTCTGACTGCATGCCAAACTGTGTGGATTCTGAACTTGCTGAAAGATCTGAAGATTGAGGTAAATAAACTTCCGAAGCTGATGATTGATAACAAGTCTGCAATCAATCTTGCCAAGAACCCAGTGCTGCATGGGAGAAACAAGCATATTGAGACCAAGTATCACTTTCTGAGGAATCAGGTTCATAATGGAATATTATAAGTTGTACACTGTAGCACCCAGAAGCAGGTGGCAGATGTTCTAACAAAGTCTATCAAGATTGATCAATTTCTTCGTTTGAGGGATGAAATTGGTGTTGTCAGTTTTGTGTAAATATAAATTAAGGGATGGTGTTAGAAGTAATTTATATTTTAGGAATTAATTTAGAAATATCTTTTTAGATATTAATTTATATTTTAGGAATATATTTTTAGATATTTTTATATCTTTGTTAGAAGATATTTAGGATTTTATTTTGTGTATAAATAGCATAGTGAGGTAGGTCAATATAATTCATTGTAAATTATTATTCCTTATTTTTATAGTCGTCATTAAATATATTTCTTTTATCTTTCATCTCTTCTTTGTACCCTAAGAGTTATGACCATCTAATAAATAATATCAATAAATTCAACCAATTCTCTCATCAGAAAAGTTAACTAATGTAAATAAAGTTGACTCAACCAACCAATCTATACTTCCTTCGATCACTAATTTGTGTTATCAAAAAAAATTATTTCCTCCGTCTTACAATGAATGACTCATTTGAAATAAAATAATTTTTTAAAATGAATGACTCGTTTTAATTTCTAATATATATTTTTCAATTCTATCCTCTAATTAATAAAAATGTCATCATTCTCAATACATAATAAAGGAACAGTAATAAAAATATTATCTTCTCTTATTTTTATAAACTTTACTTAACTTATATAAAATAATATGTTAAATCATTCATCATAAAACGAAAAAACTATAAGCAAAAAGTAAAGCAAAGCAAAACTCTTCCAATCCCCAAATTCTACTTTCGGATTATAGGCTTAAAAGTAAAGCCATAATTGATTTATTTAATCATAACTTTCAATTATCTTTATTAACCAACCTTTACATCATTACTGATTTAAAAGTAAGAATTTAAAATAATTGCAACTTACAACCATGAAAGTTAATTCAAATAGTTTTTTTATTCCATCTTATAGTATATTCCAACTTCATATCTCTGTCATTTCGCCAAACACGTAGTGCCCGTCGGTAGGGAAATAAACTTTTCAATCTCACCACACGACACGACCCACAAAATAATAGCCACGAATCCAATAATATCTCATAATTAATGTGCTTTTGAAATTTCTTTGCATCATGATATTATTAGGCTAAAGTGATAAACAAATTCATGCTAAAGAACAAAAATTTAAAAAATATTAAATTTGATTTCTGATGAGAATTATATTTAACAAATGTCACGATCTTTTAACACAAACTCTAGATTATTAAAATCTCATTTCTCAGAAAATTAGAGTACATAAAAGAAAAAAAAATCTATTGCATCATACTACATATTCAACCCCGACAACCCTATTATATTAAATGAACTTTAGTATACGTCAAATTAATATCTCTATCATATACCTATATAGTCTATGCCACTTGTAAACCCCTCATAAGTCACACGAAATTGCCTCGTGCTATACACGCTTGTTCGTACATCAATTAATAATTCATTCATCACCATACAACGGTAACAACTAAAACTTTCTCTTTATATCTCACTCTCTTCACCATCATTTTTCCACAACTCTCTTCTCACTCTCACTCATCATTTTCAATTATTTTTTTCTTCAACATATAGTACCACATCGATTTCATATGTACAAATAGTACTTGTTAATTAGTGATGAAGCTTCTTCATAAAAATATTTGCTTCTTTTTGTTTCTTTTTAGTTTAATTTCAAGTTCACGAGGCTATACATTTTATGCTGGTGGAAAAGATGGATGGGTTTTGAACCCTTCTGAAAGTTACAATCAATGGACAGGGAGGAATAGATTTCAAGTCAATGATATTCTTGGTAACTTTCATTTTAATCAATTCAAAATACTATGATTATTGTGATTTTTTTATTAATCTTGTGGATTAGTTTTTAATTATGATTTTGCTTTGTTATAGTTTTTAAGTACAAGAAGGAGTCAAACTCAGTGTTGGTGGTGAACAAAGAGGATTATGATAAGTGCAACAAGGAGAATCCAATCAAGAAATTTGAAGATGGTGATTCTGAGTTTCAGTTTGATAGATCTGGTCCTTTTTATTTCATTAGTGGACATGATCATAATTGTGAAAATGGTCAAAAGTTAATTGTTGTGGTCTTGGCTGTAAGAGAACCTCCTCCTTATGTGGCTGCACCTCCTCCTAAGCTTCTTCCTACACCTCCTTATGTTCCAATTACACCTCCAAAAACACCTTCTCCTGTTTATAGTCCTCCAAAAAGTACTCCCTCACCGGGAAATCAACCTCCCTATGTTCCAATTACACCTCCAAAAGCACCCTCTCCGGGAAATGAACCACCCTATATACCAATCACACCTCCAAAAGCACCTTCTCCCGTTTACAATCCGCCTAACATTCCTTATACTCCTCCTAAAGTACCTTCCCCGGGAAATGAACCACCCTATATACCAATCACACCTCCAAAAACACCTTCTCCCGTTTACAATCCGCCTAATATTCCTTATACTCCTCCTAAAGCACCTTCCCCAGGAAATGAACCACCATATGTACCAATCACACCTCCAAAAACACCTTCTCCCATTTACAATCCGCCTAATGTTCCTTATACTCCTCCTAAAGCACCTTCCCCAGAAAATAAACCACCCTATGTACCAATCACGCCTCCAAAAGCTCCTTCTCCTATTCACACTCCTCCTAGTATTCCTTATACTCCTCCAAAAGCCCCATCGCCGAAAAATGAACCACCATATATACCAATTACACCTCCTAAAACTCCTTCTCCAATTCACACTCCTCCTAATATTCCATATTCTCCTCCAAAAACACCTTCTCCTATTCACTCCCCTCCTAATGTTCCATATACTCCTCCAAAATCACCTTCACCTGGAAATGAACCACCCTATACACCAATTACACCTCCAAAAACGCCTTCTCCCACTCACTCCCCTCCAAATGTTCCATATACTCCTCCAAAATCACCTTCTCCTATTCACACCCCTTCTATTGCTCCATATACTCCTCCAAAAGCACCTTCCCCTAAAAATCAACCACCCTATGTACCAATTACACCACCAAACACTCCTTCTCCCATTCACACTCCTCCAAATCATCCCCACACTCCTCCAAAAGCTCCTTCTCCTAGCAATCACCCACCTTATGTTCCAACAACACCACCAAAAACTCCTTCTCCTACTTACCATCCTATTCCTCCTAGTACAGTTCCATTCACTCCTCCAAAATCTCCTTCCCCTATAACTGAACCACCATATACACCAAATCCTCCTAAAACCCCTTCTCCTATCTCTCAACCACCCTATGTACCAATTACACCACCAAAATCACCTTCTCCCAATGTTCCTTACACACCTCCAACAACTCCTTCTCCTAGCAACCACCCTCCAAAATACCCTTCTCCAATTTCTCAACCTCCATATGTTCCAACACCTCCAAACACTCCTTCTCCAACATCATCACAAGCACCTTATATTCAGACACCTCCAAACACTCCTTCTCCAACATCACAACCACCGTACATTCAAACACCACCAAACACTTCTTCACCAAGATCACAACCACCATACATTCAAACACCTCCAAACTCTCCTTCTTCGCCAACATCACAACCACCATACATTTCAGCCCCTCCAAAAGCTACTCCATCTCCATCTTCTCAAACACCTCCAGGTGCTCATTCACCAATTTCACAACCTCCATATATTCAAACACCACCAAACTCTCATTCACCAACATCTCAACCACCTTACATTCAAACACCACCAAACACTTCTACACCAAGGTCACAGCCACCATACATTCAAACACCTCCAAACTCTCCTTCTTCGCCAACATCACAACCACCATACATTTCAGCCCCTCCAAAAGCTACTCCATCTCCATCTTCTCAAACACCTCCAGGTGCTCATTCACCAATTTCACAACCTCCATATATTCAAACACCACCAAACTCTCATTCACCAACATCTCAACCACCTTACATTCAAACACCACCAAACACTTCTACACCAAGGTCACAGCCACCATACATTCAAACACCTCCAAACTCTCCTTCTTCGCCAACATCACAACCACCATACATTTCAGCCCCTCCAAAAGCTACTCCATCTCCATCTTCTCAAACACCTCCAGGTGCTCATTCACCAATTTCACAACCTCCATATATTAAAACACCACCAAACTCTCATTCACCAACATCTCAACCACCTTACATTCAAACACCACCAAACACTTCTACACCAATATCACAGCCACCATACATTCAAACACCTCCAAGCTCTCCTTCTTCGCCAACATCACAACCACCATACATTTCAGCCCCTCCAAAAACTACTCCATCTCCATCTTCTCAAACACCTCCAGGTGCTCATTCACCAATTTCACAACCTCCATATATTCAAACACCACCAAACTCTCATTCACCAACATCTCAACCACCTTACATTCAAACTCCACCAACCACCTCTTCTCCATCATCTTCTCAATCACCCCTTCTTCCAACTCCTCCAAAATCCTCTCAGCCTCCATCGATAGCAGAAACACCCTATGGAAATGGAATAGCACCATCTCCACTATCTCCATACCCTTCAAACAACTCACCATCACCATCACCATCACCATCAGTTTCACCTCTCGCAAGTTCACCAGTACCAACCCCTACTTCACCACCGGCTCCCACTCCAGCAAGCTCGCCGATATCAACCACTACTTCACCACCTGCTCCAACTCCGATAGGTTCCCCGGTATCAACCACTACTCCAACAGCATCTCCTGCAGGGTCCGTTCCGGCAGCAACAACTCCTTCACCTTCATCCACTTCCCCTGGAACACGAGGAACACCGTCATCTACCATCACAGGAAGTCCATCACCGACATCATCGAATGAAACAGCGCCAGGGAAGTCAAACGGAGTGTCGTATGCAAGTCCGTCAGGGACATGGGCATACTCCATTACAATTTTGGTCGGTGCTGCACTCACAAGTACTATTCTTGGATAGAAAAATCAAACACGTTACTGTTATTAGTATATATTATTTTACTTTTCAATTATATAATTGGTGAACATTTTTGTTTTGTACCTGTTGTTGGACATAATTAAGAGATATGTTTCTCGTAATTTGTTTTATGTATAATATGTGTACTCAATAAGTTTAATAATGTGTCTTGACTTCAATTTTGTTCAATCAAATTCGCTGGATTCAATTTTTGTTCTGTTTCTACGCCTAGAAAGCTGTAAATGTCGAACTAATCATATTGTAAACGGTATCTCGTAAGGCAAAATATTTATGGTCTACAAAAACTTTATTTTATTACTTCATTTCATTACATTATCTTTATCTTTATTATAGTACTCTTAAGTTAGTGCTATTAATTTCTTTTAAAAAAATGGTACAGTATGTTATTAATGTTAAGTGTAGGCAGCTAGGTGTGTAAGCTAAGTGACATTAAAAAATACTTATAAAAAGGAGATTATAGATTTCATATCAACTAATATTTCAATATTTAAAATTGATAATTCAAGTGTTATAATCGGTTACTATGAGGATATGTTCGATTACGGTTAAGAAGAAAAGTCAATAAATTGAAAAATAAGTGATTTTTTTGTTGGTGTAATCGGTTATGCATTTCCAGTAATCGGTTACTACTATTGTATTTTTAGTTGTTTTAGCCGTAGTAATCAATTATAGATTTTGTGTAACCAGTTACAGACATGCAAATTTAGTTTTTCAGTTTATGTTAAGTTGTTACTTCTGTCTCAATCCACTTGTATTTTGTATATATATATATATACCTTAGAGGTATTATAAATAATAGTTAATGCAAATGAACATATTCTCACTCTCAATTATATTCTCTCTCTCTCTCTCTCTCTCTCTCTCTCTCTCTCTCTCTCTCTCTCTCTCTCTCTCTCTCTCTCTCTCTCCACATCTAAACCCTCTATTTTCATCAATCTTGTGATTTCAAATTCTAACATTTGGCATCAAGAGTCTGATTCGATCCACCAAATACCTAGTGTGCAACATGAATTTTGTCTCCAATGAAAGAATCCCTACAAACCTACCCATCTTTGATGCGAAGAATTACGACAAATGGTGCAAGCAAATGAAAGTGTTGTTTAGCTACCAAGATGTTCTTGAAGTGATCAATAATGGGGTTAGTCCTCTTATCGAAGGTGCAACGGATGCACAACGAGCAACACATAAGTAAGAGAAAAAGAGAGATTTCAAGGCGCTATTTTTGATCCGTCAATGTGTGGATGGTAACAACTTTGAGAAATTTGGTGACTGCGAATCGTCAAAGCAAGCGTGGAAAGTCTTGTAAAAGGCATATGTACGGGGTGAAAAGGCGAAGGTGGTGAGGTTACAAATTCACAAATGTCAACTTGAATTAATTCAAATAGAGGTAAAAGAGTCCATCAACAATTACACGATGAGAATTACTCGATTGGTGAACCAAGTAAAAGCGTGTGGAGAAATTGATAGTGAGCATTATGTTATCGCAAAAATCTCGCGTTCTTTGATGGCAAGATTTGATAACATAGTCGTAGCAATTGAGGAACTTAAGAATCTTGTGACGATGAATAAGTAGGAGCTACAAAGCTCTCTTGAGGCCCATGAGAAGGATTACAAGATTCGTATGGATAACAAGTCACTACGTCTTATGGATGCAAATAGGTGTCTTGCTACAACGGCTAGTCAAAAAGAGTGGATATGACACTATCATCTTGAGCATCTCAATTTTCGAGATCTCGATGCATTGCAAAAGGTCTGAATGGTAATAAGACTATCGTTCATCAACATACTGAGCTGAAATTTGTGAAGAGTGTGTGCAAGCGAAGCAACATAAGAATAAATTCAGCAAGGATGCAGGTTGTATAATCAAGCATCACCTTGAGGTGGTGTATTGCGATGTGGGTGGACCAATGCAAATTGATTGGATTGGTGGTAAAATATATTTTTGTCACATTCATCGATGATTATAGTAGAAATTTATGGATGTACCTAATCAAGAGAAAAGATAAGGTATTCTAAGTGTTTAAGAAATTCAAGTTCATGGTTGAGAGCAAAGTGTTCACAAGCTCAAAGTTCTTAAAATGGGTAGGGAGGTCAGTACGTCTCAAATGACTTTAAGAGGTTTTATGATCAAGAGAGGATAGCACATGAGGTAGTACTACCCAATACTCCACAAAAAAACATTGTTGTCGAAAGGAGGAATCGATCGATTATGAACATGGTGAGAAGCCTGTTGAAGAGGAAGAACTTTCCGAAAGAGTTATGTGGAGAAGTGTTATCTACATATGTTTATTTGTTTAATAGGTGTCTAACAAATAAGTTTCAGAAGATAACATCGGAAGAGGCATGGTCCGGATTCAAGCTGAATCTGAACCACTTGAGGGTTTTTGGTTTTGTAGTGTGTCTTCATGTGTCGGGACAAATTAGAAAGAAGTTGGTTGATAAAGGAGAGTTGATTATACTTGTAGGGTATCACTCTATCGGTGATCAGCCGAACAAAAGGATTGTGATCATCTGAGACGTTAGTGTTAACTAGATAAATGAGTTGCATCAGCCTGTAACTGGTTACCAGAAAGCTATAATCGATTACAACATTGAAAATATAGTTTATGTAGATTTTAAGAGTGCAGAAAAAGTCCTGGTTGAATCCCTAATTGAAGTGAATGTAAGAAGATTAACAAGGTAAATAGGTTTGTCTCACTACTACAAATAACATATTTTACCTCAAACGCGGAATGCATTTAACCTCGACTACAGTAGCGAGGTAACAAATGGTGTCATCAAAAGCTTACACATTACCCCTCGGTTAATATAAAACTGAGGGCTTAAGTTATATACACATGGATTCGAACCTCAGCATCTGCATTTTAATTATTTTCAAAATTAATGCATCATACCTCTCGATTTTTCGATAAAATCGAAGGGTAATATAGATTTTTTTAGACTAGTTATATTGTTTATACGTAATATTAAAAAATAATTTGTTTACAAACTACTTTGTTTTCCTAGAATAATACATTGTTTATACAAAATAATAAAGTAAAAGTTAATTTCTCTGAAGATCTAGATTTAGATCTTCGAATCATTAAATTTTGGGAAAGAGAAAATACTGGGTGCATGATATTTTTAATGGCTTTTATATGCATTTGCTTCTGAAATAAAACAAAAAATGGTTAGCTAAATAAGGGTTAGATAAATAAATGATTTTCTGCTCAAATAAATATATAAGAACACAAACCTTAAACCCAAATAATTTTCTACTCTTGCAATCCATCATAGATATATTTTCATGGAAAATCTTAAAGTGGTGGATGTAGATGGTTTCAACCGCTTCATGATGCTTCACAATGGTATTCAAAATGAATATTTTGATATTTATAATGCTTTTATAATGATAATTTTTTTATGTTTCACATGGATCACTAAAGGTGGTGTCTTGAGCGTAAATAGTCATGAAATGGACAATAAAGATTTGATTATGGACGATGAATAATATCCTCAATAATCACGCCAAAATTATTCCTTTGGTTTTGACAGAAACCGAGGTAAAATATGTTTATCCCTTGGTTTTAGAAGAAAAACAGGGTGACAATTATTTTTTGTAACATTACATTGTTTACACAGAATATTGAAAAAATCCAGATTCTTCATCGTCGCTACAATTCCATATTTTGTTGCATATATATTTTCAAAGGTTGAACAACAATCTTTGTTTAACTTAAAGATGAAAATTATTTTTTACACTTGCAATCTATCATAGAGAACTTTTCCAATCTTCTTTAACTGAGCATTGTTGGAAGAATACAACAATACCAACATTAACATCATTATGTGAGATAGAATGCAAGGGTAGAAAAAAAGTTTTGTTCAAGGATAGAATAACATTCATGTTTTTTTTGTCCTGCAATCCGTCCCAAAGAATGATGCGTACGAGTTTGGGGCAGCAACATATAAGTTAGGATTAGGGTAATATATGTTTAACGATTATTTTATAGTTAAATTTGATTATTTTTATCCCCATAAATTGTAATAGATGGGATTTGAAGCATGTCCTGAATTCTTTTTCTCCTCGGTTTTTAACTGAGGGAAATCTTTGTCATGAAAGCTCCGTCATGGTGCGCCTTGACATTATACCTCTTTTTATTTTGGATGAGGTGAAAACTTCATCATGAAATGTGTTATTTGTAGTAGTGCCTCCAAGACTCCAAGGTTCTGAGATGTTCCGAGACAATGAATTCAATGATGATGGTAATATCCTCCATTCACTTATGGACAAATTTGAACCCGTTAAGACGGAAGAGGCCTTAAGTGATATAAAATGGATTTGTGCTATGAAGTAGGAGATGGAATCTATTGATAAGAACAAGAGATGGGAGTTAGTTGATATACCAGAAGGAAATAAGTCGATTGGTGTAATATGGGTCTATAAGGTGAAGGAAAATTGCATGGGTGAAATAATCAAGCATAATGCTTGATTAGTTGCAAATAGATTTTTTCAAAGAGAAGGCATAGACTTTGAAGAGGTATTTGCACCGGTTACTAGGATTGAAACCATTAGACTAGTTATTAGTATTTAGAATAACAACACTTGGTCCATATATCAAATGGATGTGAAATTTGCATTTTTGAATGGATTGTTTGAAAAGGAGGTATATGTAGAATAACCCCTGGTTTTGTTGTGAAAAAAAGAGTCAAAGTTCTACAAGTTGAAGAAAGCGTTGTACAGTTTGAAATAAGCTCCAAGTACTTGGAAGAAAAGGATAAATGGGTTCTTAAAGGAGATTGTCTTCAAGATGTGTGTATCTGAACATGGTGTGTATGTGAAGATGGATACAAGTGAAGGGGTGATTATCCTGTCTATACGTAGATGATTTGTTGATTACTGGAAGCGACGTAAAGTGTATTTCTAAGTTCAATAGTGAACTTAGGAAAGAGTTTGAGAAGACTGACCTTGGCCTCATGACATACTTCAATGGTATTGAGTT